CGCGCGGGCACGTGCATGCGAGCGAGCACATAAACCAGGAGGTTTATATCTTCATCCTGCACCCCTGCAAGCCCCTCGTTGATTTCATGCGCATGCAAAAGTTAAATTTAAGATTCTGTACAAAACAAACCCGAGATTTTTCGCTTTGAAAAGCTAGTTCTGGTTGCTAAGTGACTACAATATACTTCTCTATCACATCATTTTAAAAACCCACGCACTAAGAGGAAATTGCTACGTTAGGACATCAGGAATGTACCCGAGCGAGATAATGAACCCCACACATGTATTTGCTCCGCAGTCCCGCTCCGAGACCCCACGGAGGCATTGTCTTCAGTGATGTTAAGTATAACACTCCTGCCCAGGGAGGCCGCAAACAATCTGAAACGGGGCACAACAAGTCGGCGTAAGAAACTGCAGCAGAGAGCTAGAAAAGGAAGGCAAGGAAACAGTCCTAGCAGCAGTGAAGAGAGGACGCACCAGGACTAGAAGAAACTAAAGGCAGGTGTCTACGGGCAGAGCAGGTGAATAAGGCCATAAAAATTGTGTTTGGAGAGCTGGGCAGGGAAAAAAAAAAAGGAAAAGCATGAATGAAATGAACAAAGGGCTGAAGTGGTAAAGTTGCAAAACCAAGGGCAAAAGTTCAAGAGAACTGAAGGACGCCAGAGGAGCATCCTGCAGGAAAAGGACACACACGGTGAGGATGTAGGCCAAGAGTCACAGAGGCAAATTTTTGGAGGGCAAGAAAAAACATGAATCTCTGATATATTGAAGGGAAAGATATTCTAAGAAAGTAAATTGAGCAGCTGAAACAGCACAGACAGTAATAGCTGCAAGACAGCAGACACTGTAGTTCTGGTTTCTGTAGCAATGTATGTAAAAATGTTCAAAATGAAAGAGAGTGATTCCCCTGTGCTTCATCAAGCGTAGCATACTGGAAAATACGAAAAGATTTTACTTCCCTTCCTTAAAAGGCACCATTGATTTTATTTTCTAAATAGCATCTTACCAGAATGCTTGTGCATAAGACCTATCACCACCAGCGAATAAATCCGTTAGCTGTCTGTGTCTGTGGATGAAGTCTTTCGGCTTGCTGATTCTTAGGCATGCGGGCATCGCTGTCTGGTGTAAGGTCTGCACGAAGCTGTAACAAGCCCCGTTGTTTTGTAAATACCCTCTTTATTCACCAACCAGCGCTACACGTTGACGCATGGCTCCCCTATGCCCCTCTCAGACTGGAATGCCCCATCCAGCGCCAAGCGGAGAACAAGGCCACGCAAGCACGGCCACCCCAGCACGGGCTCCAGCGCATACAGACACAGCACACGTCTCGGGAATGGGTCCAGGGTTGAGCCACGAGGCTCCGCGGCACAGGGAGACATGGGCCTAGGGGCCTCTCCAACACGGATGAGTCTACGGCAAGCACTTGGACCTAGAGCCATGGTCCAAGCACAGCGGCGCACCAAACAGCCACCACAGAGAGGGCAACAGAGTTTGCACAGATAACTCAGGAGGAAAAATGATCAAACATGATTGACAATGAAATTAGGGAGGCGGTTTCACTTCTAAGGAAAAAGATATGATTTCTGTCTACATATAAAACACTTAGATCATTTAATGTGATCGCACTGTGAGTTTGTGTGGGTGTAAATCAGTAGTTTGTCACCCACACCGTTTTTGAGTCTGCTGGTCAGAAAATTCAACAGAAAGGTAGACAGCGCAAAGGCTTTGGCTCCTGCAAGGGCGTGACATTCAGGGCATTCAGAGCAAGTTCATGTTTTGGCAAATGAAAATTGCCTTGCAATCTCAACAGACAACTGGTTTGTCACACCAGTCAGTCCATCACCACAGGAGGGTCCCAGAGTGGCGAGCTCCACATGCACCTTCTCACCTGGTCAAACAAACAGCAAGAGCCAGAGAAGGTAAAGGCGTTTCCAAAGGTCACAGGAGACGTGGGAAGGGGCAGAGTGGTGCTAGGGGGTCACAGCAGGGCACAGCAAGCTGTGACAGCGCCTCAAGATGTGGGGGTTCTGCTAGCGCTGTGATGCTTGATCCTGGTGGCCAGTGCCACTGCAGGAGCACTGGGGATATAGGACAGGAACCTGTAGGTAGCTCTGCAAGGTCCCAAATGAGCTTTTCTTTCTGTATCAGCAGGTAAGAGTAACATTTTCTTTGAAAGTCTATGAAGTAGGGGGATGCCACCAGCTGAGTATGGATGCAAGTGAGCAGAAGCAAGCCACCCTCTTCACCCCAGGCATGTTCACTGACCGCACAGTGAAGTTAGCTACACATCAAAGGGGAGCAGCGTCTTCTTTCCTCTGGGTGTTACCATTGAGCATGGAGAAACAAGAGCCCAACAAGGCCCTAAATGGATACTTCCCATACTTTGGCTCTTCACCTCCCTGCTCACATGTCCTGTCTCTTGTCTCTTAGGAATGTCCTAACTCCTTTCTCTACTTGCTGTCTCCCATCTTGCAGCTCCTGTCCCCTCCGCGGCACCACGTGGTCCCTCCCGCAGCACTGCTGGAGCATCTCTGGCATGCTGAGGGCTCAGGGCAGGCAGGAGATGGTAACCAAACCCGACTCCTCAGAATAGACATGTTCCCCCTGCTGCTTTCCATCCCCCGTCTCCGGTAATCCTACCCCAGCAGGGCAGTGGCTGGAGGCAGGAAACAGGGCAGATCTGTAAAACTGGAGACGCTCAAGACTCTGAGGATTAACTCTACCCAAGAAGAGCAACTGCTGCTCGAGCCCTGCTCCCATCCCCACCCAGGAGAGCCAGCCAGCCCATCCCCAAACCTCCAAAACCGGTGGAAAAAGCGGGGGTAGCCGCAGCCCCCGGAGGAATCTCCAAACACATGCCCAAGGGCTGGACATAAGCAGGTACAGCATGGGGAAGCCACTGGGCGAGACCCTCGCAGAAGGGTGAAGACCGTGAGCCAAATAAAGACAAGGAATTTGGTGCCCCAGTGGAGATAAAAATACACTGCCTTTGCCCCTGCCTTAAGCCAAAGGAAGGGCTGAGAGCTTGATCTCCAAGCTCACCAGCTTCATTCTGCACTTCCAAAGGAGTTTTAAAAGATATGGCAAAGACCAACAGAGTTGTTATGCATCAGTCAGGCTAAGAGCTGCCAGGAGCTCTCCCAAAGCACCAGCAGTGATGAGGGCTCACACGTGTCCCTTGACTAACACAGGCTTTGCTTGCTCTGCACTTCGGATGCTGATGGCCTGAATGTGGCGCGGGGGCGCTTGTCACCTCCCCGGCCACAGGAAGGCACAGCCAGCAGTATTAGCTCAAGGCTCCCAGATGGGAAGACCAGCACCACATCCAAGGCCTCAGGACATGGCATGTAAAGTGGAACTGGTGAACAAGCTGTGCCAGATCCATGCAGTCTCTGAGGCTGGGTGTCTTCACAGCTCCCTGGGAGCTACTGCCAAGAGCGAAGAGCAATTGGTGAGGAGATGAGGGCAGTCCGGGAGCAGAGAACAAACTCAATGAAGCCTGGGGGGCAGCCAGGCTTCTCCAGAGACGCACAGCTGAGAAAGGAGCTACTGTCCTAGGGCATCCCGCACTGGGCGCTGGGCAAAGTCCCATGACCAAGCAGCCGGTGGGTCTGTGTGCGACCCAGGGCACGAGCAGGGACAGAAACTGTGGGAGAAATTCCTGAGTTGGAGCAATGACTCCTTGATCCGAACGGCTTTGAGTTGGGGGGGAATAGGGGATGGATGGGTCACAGAAGGAAATAAGAAGCAACAGCCAGCAGAGAGGAAAGAGGCTCCATTTTTATGCACTGCTGAACTGGGCCACTTAGTCTTCTATGAAAACAAAACAAAAAAAGAGGCATTTCTATTACAGACCACATGAGAACAAATCAAGGGAACTATGTACATACATCACTCACAACACTCTGCTGCACCATGAACAGCAAGGCACAAAGCAACCCTAGGATGGCTGCCAGGCAGACAGACTATGGAGATGATGACAAAGATCAGACTCAATATTAATACACTGGGGTGGTAATGAGACCATGAATAATAGCCAAAAGAAAAAGCTATACAACTATAAAGAAGGTAACTTTAGATTCAATATATGTGTGACGTATCTGAGCAGAGCAATCTATGTACTCCAACCCCAGGGATCAGTGTAGGTCTAATATAATGGTAGGCACTTTCATATGTGTCCTACAGCAATCAAGACATACAGGGTAATATGAGAAGGTGAAAGTACAAAACTGCAAAGCAACAGAGCCTGCAGATAACCTGGAACATTGCAATCATGATGTCATTTCACAGAACCACAAAATGTTGAGGCTGGAACAGATCTCTAGAGATCATCTAGTCCAATCCCCCTGCTCAAGCAGGGTCACCTAGAGCAGGTGGAACAGGGTTGCGTCCAGGCGGGTTCTGAGTATCTCTCCAGGCAACCTCTTCCAGAGCTCTGTCACCCTTACAGTAAAGAAGTTTCTCCTCATGTTCAGATGGAACTTCCTGTGTTTCAATTTGTGGCTGTTGCCTCTTGTCTTCTCACTGGCCACCACTGAAGAGAGTCTGGCCCCATCCTCTTGACATCCTCCCTTAAGGTAATTATACACATTGATAAGTTCTTTTCTCAGGCTTCTCTTCTTTAGGCTGAACGGTTCCAGCTTTCTCAGCCTCTCCTCACAGGGGAAAAGCTCCAGTATCATCTTTGTCGCTCTATGTTGGACTCCTTCCTGTAGCTCCATGTCCCTGTGGCACTGGGGAGCCCAGGACCGCACACAATATTCCCAGCGCGGCCTCAACAGAGCTGAGTAGAGGGGGGGATCCCCTCCCTCGACCTGCTGGCAACACTCTGCCTAAAGCACCCCAGGATACTACGGCTTAGAGATGACATCCAGCATGTCATGATGAGCTGCTCCATCACCTTTCCAGGGACAGAGGTGAGGCTGACTGGCCTGTAGTTTCCTGGGTCCTCTTTCTTGCCCTTTTTGAAGACTGGCATGGCATTGTCATGGCACTGGCTTTCTTCCAGTCTTCAGGCACCTCTCCTGTTCTCCACAACCTTGCAAAGATAGTAAAGAGTCATCTAGCAATAACATCCAACAGCTCCCTCAGCACTCGTGTGTGCATACCATCAGAACCCATGGATTTATGGATGTGCCACAAATATACATGCACAATTTAGTAGAAGATGGTACACCTTTAGGTAGGCCTATTTAGGGAAGAAAAACCTTTGCTAATGTGGCAATGAATGCCATCAATACAGATTGCCAGACAAATCAAGTTATCTAGAGAAACCAATACTTGCAGATATCACGATCAATAAAGCACGATTCTTTATGTGCCTCAAGAAGAAGAAATGTTAATACCTAGATTGACCCCCTTGTTTTGCTAGGACTGTTTTAATTTGGAGATAAGCACTCTTTTCCATGGATAAAGAGGATATGGATAGCCATGGATATCCATAGATAGCCCTACTGGAAGTAGGATTATGCCCATATTTTAACATATGTACCACACATGCCGCTACGAATCCTATGGTTTAGAGGTAATACAGTGGATTGGACAGGACCTAGTCTGTTCTGCAGCACCCTGATCTAAAACCTGTGGCAAGGCGCCTAGGCACTGATATGGTGATGGGGCTCTCAGCCATTCCAGTAACACGGAACAAATTAAATGCAACGTGAAACATGCACTCAGGACAGTGGCACCCATGTCAGCTCCTCTGACACTAAAGCCAATTTAATTCAGTTCTCTCTTCAATATTTCCCTCCAACCATAAATATCAATGCCTTTAAATTTTGCAAGATGTCTCTTAAACAGAGGAGCTGTCAGGCTGGCTGTAGCAGTTGAGCATGAGACAACAGGTCCCTTCACACTCCAGCAGCTTGTGGGAGGCAGTTTAGAGCTGAAGAAACAGCACATATTCTGGATAGCATTGCTCAGTGATTAAGGAGTTAACCTCTCTAATACTTACATTTTGGGCTTTAAATCACACCTCTCCTGACTATCATGTCTTGTTTGCCTCTCTGAGAGCAACCATTCTAGCCTGCTGCAAATTCAGAAATGCTTCACCCCTCAAATTCAGGATCCCCTCTTGAGTATCTTGTGTCTTCGAGGTAAATACATAAATAAATAAATAAATAAATAGCTGAGATTTGGTAGTACCACGGATTTTTTTTTTGAATCTGACAGCGATTAAGGTCATGAGGATGTCAGCAGCCAAAAATCATTACAAGAGACAAGATCTGGAACAGGTAATGGCCTAATGGGAGGGGAAGTGGGAAGAAGATACCTAATGCGAGAGGAGATAGGGAGGACAAAACAAGGAAAAAACAGAATATGACAACAAATCTTGTCTAGGAATATCATCTACCAGGGGATGGTAAACTCCCACAGAAAAAGAAACAAAAAAATGTCCTGTAAAAGATGGATAAAAATGCTGATTTGGGAAAATGAGTTTCTCAAAATAATTTCTGACCACAGATCAATCCATCAGCTTAAGTGAGAAACTGTGGCAGCAGACAGATACTGCTACCCCACCAGAAGGTCTGATGATGAAAAAGATATTACACACACAAATCAATATATACAAAGACACACTCACATATGCCTGTGAAGGATATTCCTTAGTACTTTGTTGCTGCACATCTTAGGCTGTTCCGAAACCTTCCCCAAGGCAGATGGAAAACACTTCGCCCTCCTATGCATAGTGTGTGACAGGTTGGGATGTGGGACTGGTGAGGGGGAGGCTTCCTACAAAACAGGCTGTGGCCATTTTGCTGGAAGCAAGATGCCCCATGGGCTCATACAAAAGTCCCCATGTCTACCCCAGTTCTGCCTATGAGTTGTGCAGACAGGAGACAGCTGCACCCCTCTCTTGGTAGCTTCCTCTCAAGAGTGATAGATAGATAGATAGATAGACAGACAGACAGACAGACAGATAGATAAACTTTGTGCTAAGCATAAGCATAAGACCTAGGGATACAAGTGCAAGAGGCTGTAAAGCAAGAAAGAGAGCCATTGCTTTCCCACGGGTTAAGGTCTGGGGCCTCCTGAACTCCTAGCACATGGCCAGGAAATTTTAAATTGGAAATACACACAAATCTGCCACTGCATAACCTTGTGCCAGACAGGATTCTGGTGGGATTTCAGGCCAGGAAATACTCAAAGACCTCAAGACTATGTAATAAAAAGATGACAGACCACCTCCTTCATCCTTAGTATTTAAACAAAAAGGTGTAGCACCGACTCAGGAGCAATTCCCACGGAGAATCTGGCTGATGATCTATAGTGAGGACTTCGTCCCCACTGAGAAGTCACCCAGGCCACCAGCCACAGTGCGAAGCCCTTTCAGCATAACTGATGTTGCTTTAGAAAAACCATCATTTGGTGTGATGGTTTCACTCTGCTATGCAAAGCCTACATTGCAGGAGCTCAGCAGGTACAGAATTACACCAGTTTTCACTCAAGCTTTTTGCAGTGCAGTGCTGCTCTGCAATTCAGAGCAACTGTCCATGCAAATCCTCAGAGCTATTTACACCGCACAGCGTGTGCAGACCGGAACTGGGAATATAACTTCTTCTGCCGATCCTACCTCTGCCGGGAAACACCAGCTTCCTGCTGCCCACGTCGCTGCTGCTGCTGCTGCCGGGCAGAGCTGGGGGCAGCCGCGGGCCAGCAGGGCTGTAAAACCCAAGTGCCAACAGAGCAGATTCATTCAAACACCCTCCACAGGCAGCAATGCCGGAATAAATGCCAGGGAGGGAGGGGTTATTAGACCACCTAATATAGCTGGGAAAAGGCACCCAACCCCTTCCAAAGCAAGCAGGATTCATGTCACAGGCTGCGAAAAACTATTGCAAGCTGCAGGCTTTACTGGAGCTCCAAACTCCGAAGCACACGGCTGCTCGGTTCGATTTGCACAGGTGCTTTCCTCTGGCAATCGGTGGATGAAGATTGCCCATTCATCTGATTTGCAAGTTATGTAATCACGAGAAGAAAATAGGTTTTGGTTTTGTTTGTTTGTTTTGCTTTAATAGAAGTCATGTAATCACTTTAGGTTTAAGCTCCAATTCAAACTGGACTATTTTTACATTTCAGGTCTCATCTCTCTGGAGAGATGATGAATCCTTTTGCCTGGCTTAAAAAACAAACAAACAAAAAAACCATAGTTGTGACAAAAAATGAAATGCCAAAGGACTAAAAGGCTATACACAGTGCAGCAGGTCCCTTCTCATTCTCAGCCCTGTGATGCACTCACCGTTCGTTCGCCCCACAGCTCCCAGACAGACAGTCCTGGGAACTGGTACTGCAGCCTGAACTCTACGGCCTGAACGTTCCTTCAGTTATTCTTTTGACTTTCTTGCACCTGCATATCCCACTTCCTACTCCCCAGAGATCATCAGCACTGCATCTCACCATTAGGCGTTTCTGGACTTCTGTCTTTAAAATCCAGCAGCCCTGGCTTTACAGATATGTCTTTTGACATTAACTGTCACTGTGCATGTTACTACTGTGCATGCATCCTAGGTACAACACTGAGTTGCCAAGTTTCAATCAACTGTACCGATAAAAAATATTGCACACTTTATCCAAACCATATCTGATCCACTATGCTGTTTCAAGCCCATGCACAGGCCAAGTGTGGGTCATCCAGAGCGGACCAGGCTTCCCCACAACGTTATAGCTGTTCCCTACCACCATCCCATTCTCCATCGGCATCCCAGGGGGTCTTTCTGCTAAAGCCACCACAGAAATAAAATCTGTGTATAGACAGGTCTCGAATTCCAGGAGTGTTTACAAACTGATTTATTGCTTCAGGCCCCATCAGTAGCTGTTTTCACTACTTGTTAAACAATTTGGATTTCACTCAAGCACTTCTCAGGCAGAAATGCCCATCATGTTGGCAGCAGGATTAAAATGGCATGTGAGCAAGCCAGGGTGAAAATGTCCCCATTAAATTTTCATCTTTCCTCCGGCTACTCTGCCTATAGATCTACACAGGTATTAAGACAGCTCTGTCAACTAAAAGCATTAGCTCCACTTCCAGAAGCAGCAGAGCAGACACTGAGGCACTGCAGAAGGAAGTGACCCTTGCTGAAGAGGCCGTGCTCCTGTCGTACCGGCACATCATGGAGCACCCGCTGCCTCCGCGGGGACAAGGTCAGGTCCTGGCGACTGGACACACAGCCTGAGCGACCCTCCTTGCACAGCTCTTCCAGGAGCAGCCCAGCCAGAGAGCATTTTCCAAGGCTGTTCTTTGTGCTGGTTACCACTGGGACACCATCAGCTTGAATCAAACCTGCTTGCACAGCCTAGGGCATCCTGAGCCCTCTTCAGCAGAGTCCACAGAGGTCACTCCACACTGGAGAACATCGTCTCCTTGAACAGGCATCTCACTGCGAGCTACTGAGGTGCTGCTGCACAGATCCTTGCATGTTCTGCCCCAAAGCCCTCAAAGACAGACACAGAGAGGATCCCGCCTTCGAGTTTGCAGGGCTTCCTCACTCCAGCCCACACTCAGTCTTTTCTTCTCTCACACTGCATTTCCTTTCAGCCCTCCCCAAAGAGAGAGACACCCAAAGAGATGTCAAAGGTAAATTGCTCAAGGGTGCAGCCACCTTTTCTTTACAGTCCTCATAGAGCTGGGCCTCCCACTGAGTTGCCTTCCATGCTCACTGAACTAGGGCAAGCAAAAGCCTAAAATAAAGCAAGGAGACCTTCATGGAGAAAATTAAATGGTGAGTTTGCAGCAAGATGCCTCCTCTTCTAACCCAGAGCTGGCACAGCAAACTCATCTGCAGGAGACCTGTGCTGTCAGAGAGCTGGGCTTTCAGGCCAGAGGTAGCTGAGGACCAGACCCCTTGTAGTCATTAAAAATCCCCTTTTTTTTCCACGAGATTAAGAGTGATAAGCCTAGTCTTACGGCTAAATTCCAGTTCAGGTGATTACATGTTCCCTATCTTAATCCTCCCACCTGCTCTACAGGTCTGCCTGGACCGAGTAATATCAAGCCAATATTCACTCAGTAACCTACATCCGTTTTCCAGAGGCAGCACAGGAAAACCAACAAGTCAGGCTCAGAGAAGACTATTCAGAGGCATTTGAAACCAAAAAGAATCTGACAAGCACAGATAAGCAAAAAACTGTTTAGACTGTCTACAAGACAAAATATTTTTCCTAAAGAAGCTAATGAGGAATTTAGAGATTTGTGTGCATTTGATTACATGTGCGATCCAACGTCCTATTACTATAGATCCAGCATTAAAATATTGCTAAGGATGCAGCTTTACATTACATACTCCATGCAAGGGCCCATTAACAATGAGAACTACGTAAGTACCAGACTTGACCAGATGGCAGAAAGATTTTTTACATTTTCTCATCATATAGTTACTGATGGCTCTGCGGCATCGTCATAATAGTTTGTCCTCCAGCTGTAGAGTCATAATTTGATTTTATTTTTGTATTTCTTTGCTATTTTGTGCTAAGCACAGTCCTCAAAATGACTGCTTTTGTTCCATAAAGGGCACTTCCCTCCCTGCACTGGCCAACTCTAACTTCTGTTGTGACAACCCATTTATCTTCCTTAATATTTGTTTACCCTTTTTATTCCATCTATTTTCTTTGACATATATTTTTAATTAGACACACTCCTCTACCTTCATTTCCAGCTAATAAGTTTATTTAGAAAGCACAGTGTGCTGTGCTTTGAAGCATCTGTGTTGGATGCTTAAAAGGTCAAGCCTATTTCTTGCAATAACCTTAGCCTGGCCAGGTTATCAGTCATCCCTCACAGATAATATGATCCCTAAGGAGCTCATTTGTATTAAAATTGCATTTAAA